TTTCTTTTTAGTTATGTTTTGTCTATGAGGGTGAGCCCGGTAGTTTGTCTTGGCCCCCGCTAAGTACTCATGTTTAGAGGTGGTGTTGGACAAGTTGTGTATTATGCTTGAGCTTGACTCATCTATGGTATTTATGTATCATTTCTTCTTCTTTTTCTCTTGCTCCCTTAGTCCCGATTTCCCCCTTTGATTATGCTTATTGCTTATGGTCATTTTAATTGCTTCCGCGACCAAAGATGTGTAATGATACGCTATGAGGCTTGTTTGGGGTTCCTTCGGTTTCCCCATTCGCCGGTCACGTCTAGGCCCTAGGCTTGGGTCGTGACAAGAACCCTAATTTTTGTAGAAATCATTAAGTGAAATATTAGATTTACTTAAGGACTCAATGAGTAAAAGGATACCCATTGATGATATTCCACATACCTGAAATGGAAGTCGTAGCTTGATTTCTTGAACTGGAGCTTGAAGGTGAAGAACCCTAGTTCTTGCTTAAAAGGAAACTTGAGCGTAATGAATTTTGTTTTTAGGTATTAGGCATGAATGAGGAGGGTTAGGTAAAGAAATTCCATTAATCTCACTTAATATAGGCTAAAATAACATATTATAGAAACTAAAAGTGTGGAAAAATACCAAAATAACCTTGAAACAAAATCAACATCGACAACTTTCATGAGACCATCTACGGTCCGTGAATTGATCTATGGGCCGTAGATACCTCTCGTGGAAATTATGCCATTTTTGAGTCTCTGAAGTTCCATTTATGAGACATGTCTATGGTATGTGCTTTCACATATGGACCATAAACAATGATGGTAAATGTCAGGCTAAACCGAAGTTCCAGGAGTTTGTTTCATGGGACCTTATCTGTAGTCCATTTTACGACCCATAAACATCTTTCGTCAAACTTAGGCTAAAATCCTTGCTTTCTTAAGTTGATATACGGGTCCTATATACGGTCCGTGGTTCCTTCTGCGGCACGTAGATTGAGTCCGTAAAACCCAACTTTTTTGCAGACTTAAATTTCTGAACTCCCATGATCTGAACCTTAGAACTTTTGGGGCGTTACAATATCATCCCTAGGGAACATTCATCCTAGAAAAAAGCCTAACTAACTTGTAAAGAGTAGGCAGACTAAGACATGGGAAATAACCGAAAGATATAGAGTTGAATGGAATTGCTAAGGAGGAACTATTAGCTCACACTGTAACTGAACTGGACGGAAAGATGTAGGGGGTACTTGGCTATCATATATAATTCTGCTTCCCAAATAGCTCCCTTATCTAACTGATTCTTCTAAAGGACTTTCACTTAAGTGACTTCCTTGTTTCTCAATTTAAAAATGTGATAGGAACGAATTTCGACTAGGACCTCTTCGTAAGAGAATATCTCACACCAACAATCTCTAAAGGCACAACTGAAGTCGGATCATCACCAATACGTTTCTTCAATAAGCACATATGAAACACTTCATGAGCTGATGCCAATTTTGTAGGTAAATCCAGCTCATAGGCCACCTTACCGTCTTATAATTTTGTAAGGACCAACATGATGAGTGGTAGATTTGCACTCATTTAAGGTTCATTTAGCTCAATTATTAATGTCCTCATGAATGCCTAATTTTTTCCTATTCTAATAGAATGTTGATTATTTGCAGCTAAAGGCAATTAGACAAGGCACATACTGATGTTTGAAAGAATGACCAAAAATACAAAAAGAAGTACAAAATAAACATTGTTGATGGCCTAACAAGAAGGGAGGATCGCCAACTGAGCACGACCTCGGCCAAATTAATAGTGCATAGCACTTTTGTCTATCAAAGATGGTCGGCAGACTCCAGTAGAGATGGTGATGCGCCGAATGAGAACGACGATCCTCACGCAAATCGCCCAAAGCGACAGTGTGCAAAGCAAATATTGAATGCTCAAAAGGTGAACGAAGGTGGTAATCGACAATTCACCAAAGGTGAAAGGCTGACTCAATCGAGTTCGCCAACTGAGGTTCAAACACATGAAGCCTAGAGCATTATAAGGTGAGCTGAGGGGAGAAGGGTGATTCGCCGAACAGCTTTGGAGATCCCAACTAATGTCACTGATTCAATCGCAAAAATGGATTTTGGGAAAGTATAAATAGCTCAAAGGATACAGATTTTTTAAGTTACGTTTTGAGTTTCGAAAGTTCTTTTTGGAGAGAACAGTTGAGAGATTTTAGAACACTTTTCTAGCTTTCGGGGTTTTACAACTTGAAGTTTGAATTTGATAAATTGAAGTTGAATCCAAAGTGGGTTTACTTGTAATTGATTGATTTCAAGTAACCCATGGCTACTTACATAGAAGGTATAATCTCTTTACTTTTTGTGATGGGTAGCTAAAATCCCAAGATCTAGGGGTGCTCAATGAGGCCGGATGTTGATTTAATATAGTGGTATTGTACTATGCTCTGTTTTGTTGTTATTCATACATGAATTTGGTTTAATAACCATGGGGTTAACTTAAGGGTTAAGGTTGCAAACTTAATTCCTACTTTCGGTCTCCGGTTGATGCTCGAAAGAGGTTAATTGGAGTGGGCAATTAGTTCATTTGAATGGTGTAGTAATAAATTTTGTTGGTTAATAAATTTGATAAAAAGTAATTAATTTGGTGAATGTAAATGGTAAAGTAGGAATTCATTTGAAGTAATGATAAATTTTATGTTTATGAGAATAATCGTTATATGAGATATTTATGTTTTAAAAAGTAATGATATGAATTATAAATGTTTTTAGAAGTTTTTCAAAATTTGGTTTAGCGCTATTTTGCTGAAATAAATTGTTCTATCGTGTGCGGATATATTCCATAACTTGGAATGCTTGAGGGAAATAATTTCCTTTAAAACATGACACTGTGAATTCAGTGAACTCTATTTTTCATTATTTTATCTTTTTTCTACTATGATTATTTAATTAATTGTTCTCATATACATTCTTTCAGTATTTGCACAACATTTTTGCAATTATGTTAGTCGCATGACCGATATGATTGTTGTATAGTTATTTGTGAAACATCAAAAGTAACCATTTATTATATTCAACAAGGTTAACTCTGTATACACGTCCATATAGAGAATCACAATAGATTAATTCTCAAAGGATATGCTACAATTCTATACACTGAATAATATTTGTTAACATCACAATACAAGCATCACTAATCTTAACCCTGCATGTAATGAAACTTGGACAAAATGATAAACAAAAATATTGCCTCTATATATATATATATATATATATATCATCAATTCCAAGATGTCATGCAAAAATTACATAGCATTTAGATGTTTTTGCATAGTTGAGATGGGGCCGGCAGTTGTTATATTTATAACAAGTTGAGTGAATTATTCTCCTCACTACTTCAACAATAATTATGAGTTGCTAAATACAGATTAGTGGCCACCCCAAAAACAAGATTAATTATATTATATTAGTTCATACAATGCAAGAAGAAAAAGGGATAACAAATTACTATGTTAATCCATTACAGCATCCACCCTGGAATGAATCCATTAATATTATGAGCAGTTGTTGCTGCATTAACCTCATGATTTGCACCCATATTTGGATTGTATCTGCATGGACAGCAATAAATATGAGTGTATTATAGATATTTCCAGCATACATATTATTCTTTTCTTGCAATCACGCTTCGGATTTTTTTTATTTTGAGACGATATTAATCTATCAAAAACAGTTTATTTATCCACAAAGTTAAGGATTATCTATGCGGACTATCCTCTCCTCATACTACTAAAAACAAATATTTTTCTCACTGCTAAAAACAAATGATTTTTCTCATTCATTTTCACCAAACCACAGTTCATTAAAGAAACGGATTCTCACTGACATAGTGAGAAGCTTTCTAAGCTTTCCATATGAAACAATTATTTCCTCTGTTCCAATTGATATGACTTACTTTCCAGCTTTTTAGTCAATTTCAAAAAGAACGACGCATTGCTATAGTATGTAATAATTTAACTTTAACATACTCATTTAGTACAGCCACACACACACACATATATATATATATTAGACAAAAGTCTTTCTTTCTTTCTTTCTTAAACTCCGTGTCAAGTCAAATTAAGTCATATAAAATAGGAATGGGACATAAGGGGTTTTACGTACCCGAGTTGAGGAGATGAAGAATTCAAACCGAGAGGTTGAAAGAAAGGTTGTGCAGTTTGTGGAGGGAGTCGATTGTATTCCATTGTTTGTCCTCCATTATTTCCCCATGACAATCCAAGTGGAATTCTAGCTGCACTTTCTTCCAGCTGATCACAAACAATTATTCATTAAAAATACAGAAACAACTTAATTAATTAACACATATATACGTACCTTGTTTCTAAGTTGTTTATTTGCTTCTTCCAGCATTTGCTCCTAATATATTTATATATTAGAATTTTATGATATGCTTGTGATGGGATATATAAATGAATTTTGTGAGGTTAAGGTAGTGTACCTTTTCTTGAAGGTCTGCCAGCTGATCCAGCATAGATTGAGTCTGACAAAGTGTGCACTTACACATTATAACTGATTGTTGGAAAATGAACTTTACACCAAAATCATACTCCTCCATCTTTTCTTTGTATTCAGTCCCAAAAAGAATGACACATTTTTATATTTTTTCTTAATGAAATTATTTTTAGCCATGCAAACTTCTATTATGTATTTTAGACCACGAATTTCAAAATCACATGACTGCTAAAGTAAGCTAAGCTTCACATGACCTAGCTAGAGGAAGCCAAAAGACCCTCTCACTAGGTATTAGTCTTTCTCTTTCTTAAACTTTGTATCAAGTCAAACTAATGTGTGTATGCTTGTGTTTATCATATCACGACTTCCTAAGATGCTAACACATGACCTATTATTGCTACAGAAGTTTATTGGTGGAGCAAGAAAAGCGGAAATGGAGAGATAGGCTAGCTAAATGCTCTCAAATCTGTGTACGAAAAATATCGTTCTGGTACCATACCATTGAAGAGGAAAATCTCACCCCCTAATCATGCCTCAAAGAAGAAAATTTACGAGGAAAGGTCCCACTCAGACACACAAAAAGACAAAGATGACTATCGAGGGCGCATGGCACATTGTTAAGGACAGGTTGTGACTAAAGAATAGATAAGCGTGACACATGCCATTAAATCCTTACAATATTTAAGTTGAAGTATTTGGATATACCTTCTTTGATCTAATTTTCTTCAAAGACGCATCCAATTGGTGCTCAAGTTGCTCAAGTTCTTTCGAGTTTAGTGTGCCCAAATCCTCTCCAAGAATATTTCTATTAAAGCCATAATAATTTTCACAAATCAAAAACTTATGTAAAGCTAACTAAAATTATTTTTCACAAATAGACTTTCAGGGTGATTTAATTACATCACTAATATTAGAGTTGTCAATATGGGCTGGCCCATCCCATTCGGGCTAACTTATACAGGCTTTGCAATTTGACGGGCCAGACCGGGCTAGCTCATTTTTTATGTGGGCCAGAAAATGGTCGGCCCAGCCCACAAGTGTGTGGGCTATGGGCTTTGCTGGGCTAGCCCTCTTTTCTTAAAATTTTATTTTTTATAATTTTTTAATTAAATTATTATTTAAAAATATTATCATAAATATCGAGGGCCAGGCCGGGCTAGCCCATTTTTTATGGCCCCCAGAAAATGGTCGGCCCAGCCCACAAGTGTGTGGGCTATGGGCTTTGCTGGGCTAGCCCTCTTTTCTTAAAATTTTATTTTTTATAATTTTTTAATTAAATTATTATTTAAAAATATTATCATAAATATCGATTAGTGTTACTACTTGTTAATCAAATACACAAATAAAATTATCTATATAATATTTATTAAGTTTGATTTCAAGTAAAAACATAAATAGCTAAATAGAAATATTAACCTAATTATTTTCCAATGATCATAATAAAACACAAAAATTATGATAATATTCCATAGGCTATGGCCTATGTAGCAATTCCCTAGAAATTTTATTTTATGTATTACATATTTTATAAACATAATTTGTATTTAAATTGTAATATGTCAAACTTTAAACAGATTTTGAGTGTAGACTCCTATTATTTTTAATACTCTATTTTATTTTTATTTTTTAATTAATTTTTATTTGGCCCACGGGCCGACCCTATCCATATTTCTCAAGCTCCACAAATCGACAGGCTTATTCAGGCCGGGCTAAAAAGCTCTTTTCTTAAATGGAATCCAAAAATCATAACACAGCCCTATCAAATCACGGGTTAGACCAGGCCAGCCCAACGGGCCTAACCCATATTGACAGCTCTAACTAATATCTTACCTTTGAGAACGTTGAAGGAGCTCAACTCTAGCTTTTAGCCTCACATACTCATTGTAGTTCATCTGTTGAAAGAAAAAAGCGTTGAGAAATACAACTAATTAATAAAAATATACTCTCTTTAATAGCTTAAATTTTTAAATGAGGTAATCACACGGTTCAACATGATATCAAAGCAGGTAGAAAAATTGAATCTCACTGCCACCCATATCAAAAACGAATTTTCATGTCCATAAAAAAGAATCAAGCGCTTGACATTTAGGAAATGATGTTAGGGAAAATTGCTCTTTTGGTTCCACTATATGTGTAAATATGTCACGTATGGAACCATGTTGTACTTGAATTACCTTCCCAGCATAATTATCTTTACGTATTTTCCATGTATTTTGTTAGGCTTTAGGGAAAAAAAAACTCAAATACTATCTCTTAACTAATTCTATGCAATATTAGAATAGTATTCACCAAACATAATCAAAATCACTATAAAGTGGAACCAACATAATGTTTAAAATAATCACTTACAACAACATAATTGTTTTTGTTTAACTACAGTATATATATCTTGAAAGAAACGTAGCAAATACAACACTAAATGAGTTCAACCTAAGTAGTATATGAGCATATATGAAATTTATCTTATAATCATATTGTGTCAGAATGTAAGATCATAATAACAGTTTTACAGATATATAGCTTATCAAATAATCATAGCTAAAATATACAAGATAAAGTAGAAAAACAATACCTGAGTATCACTAACGGGTAGCATCGGGTCCAAAGATGCATAACTGCATTGTTGATACTTTTCAAGTGTTGTCATCATGCTTCAACAATTTTATATAAAAGATAAGTTATTAGTCATTTTCCCAACATGCATGCTGCTGTTGAATTATATATAATCTCATATCAATTATAGAAATGCATCAAGAGATATCTATGTGGTTTTGAACTACTCTACATATCACAATAATTAAAAAATGAGGCTAGTTACGTTCAATGCTCAAATTATTTCATTTCATATATGTTGTAAAATAGAAAAAGGATCATCACCTGAACCAAAAAGGAAAACACTATTATAATTTAGGTATAATACATAAACATGACCCTTAACTTAGCATTAGCTGACAACTATGACCTTTAATTTTGGGTGTGCACAAATAGGCACTTAGACTTGTATAAAATTGAACAAATAGACACATTCATCCTACATGGCACCCTACATCACAATTATGTATCCTACGTGGCATCCTACGTGTATTATGTCATGTAAGACACGTGTGTCTACTTGTCCAATTTTATACAAGTTAAATGTCTACTTGTGCACACTCAAAGTTGAAGGGCATAGTTATCCGCTGAAGCCAAGTTAAGGGTCATGTTTATGTATTATGCCTATAATTTATATGTGTGTTTGGTAGGGAGGAAAACCTTTTTCACTTTAATTTTTTTATGTTTGTTTGGTCGAAAGTTGTGAATTTTTACCTTTTTTTTAGGAAAATAACTTCTTTAAATATGAGGAAAATTGAGGGAGAAAAAATAATAAGTTCTATAACTGGCATACCACTCTGATAGTTTTTACCAGCCTCACCCCTATAGCTCCGATCCCACCGTGACACTCCTACCCCACCCCTACCCCATAGTGTTTAAATAGATTATCTACATATATTTTTGAAAATAATATTTTGTACTTACCAACAGTCGAACAATAAGCAAATAAATGTTTTCGTTCATACTAATTAACCATATCTTTAAAGCAAAAAAGCTGCATTTAAAACTTGTAAAATGTCAAATATTCACTTTTTTAGATGGAAAGGCATAATTCTGAACACATTGATTTTATGCGCATGTGTATTATTTTACATATTAGAACAAATTTACCATTTAGAACAATTATTAAAGATTTGTTTGAGCAATTGTAGGATACGATGTGCTTTCTAAGATTTATTTGAGAGATGAGTATTATCAGTTGAAGATCAAGAAAGAGGATATCTCCAAGACAACTTTTAGGACTAGATACACATCGAAATGAGTAATATTTTCCATTGACCCAAATTGAGACCGGAGAAAATATTATCTTAGAGAGGTTATTAATTAATCGAGTATTAATTTAGTGAGGTTTTACTGTACTATGATATTTTACGCATAGGCCTTGAGTGTATTTTGATACATAACAAAAAAATGATAGCCTATACTTCGAGGCAACTAAAGAATCACCAGAATATTTATCTCACACATGATTTAGAGTCTGAAGATTTGGCATTATGACTTGTATAGTGGACTATGTGACGTCTATAGTAATCACAAGAGTTTAAAGTACATCTCTAATTAGAGAATTTGATTTTGCGACAACAAAGATGATCGAGTTGGTAAAGAATTATGACAAAGAGTTTAGCTTCATGATTGATAATAATGGGGTACTTTAATTTACAAGTGTGATCATTTGTGTGTACCCATATGGATGAGTCGAGGCATTTGTTACTTGATGAGGTACACAATTCGAGATATTATATTTGTCCTAGCACTACAACGATGTATCAAGACATTCATCAATTGATTTGTAACACTCCAAAATTTTTGAGCTAAGACTCGAACCATTCTTCGTTTGTGAATAAGATTTTATCGAGAAATTTTAATATTTCTTAGGTGTTAAGGTCACTAGATGTAGCACCTCAAGTTTAAAAAAGAATTGGAGAGAAATTCGTTCAAGTCACGCATCAATTTTCTTAAGTTTAGGGTCAACTTCAATCAACCATATCTTTTAGCACATAAAGAATTGGGTGGCCCATAACCTATCAAATCGAAGGTCTTCGAGTCCTCTTTCCAACACCACAAATTTTGCCTCAATCAAAGCTTTGAGTAAAAAGTTATAACTGATTAAATAAATACGCGCGAGCATGGCAACAGGTCCGCGATGGGTCCGCGTTATGGAGCCAATACGGACCTCACTACCCGCTAGAAAATTATTCCGACTTTCAGCTCATTTTATTTATTTTTAAGGGTATTTTAGTCCTAAAAACCCTTAGGAAGTCATCTAAGTTACCCTAAACGTGTAGAAAAATCAGTTTTCATAATCAAACCCTCTCATTCGCTCCAAAATTTCTACGCTCAAGAAACTTCAAGAAACACTAAAGCTAGGGTTCATCTTCCAAGATTCTCCTTCAAGTTTCTTCAAGAACATTGTTCTTCCAGGTATTTAAGCTTCCATAGTATTGAGTTTGTTTGCCCTCACGCCAATCATGTAATCTTTTACCTATTAATTCATTCTTGATGTTGAATTGTTGAGTACTTGAAATTTTTTAGAATTTAAGTGGTAATGGAGTGTTGTTTTGAGTTCTTGAGGCGAGAGTTTGCGAATGAGTTGAATAAATTGATAGTTCCTTGTGTGGATTTCGCTGAAACTGTTCTGGGTTATAAGAATTCATGAATTTTGACCTTAGAATTGCAGTGAGTATGAGTTGAATCGAGTTTTGGAGAGGAATAAAAGATCGGGTAAAATTATGCTCCAGGTCCGCGTCGCGGAGACTTTCCAATATTTCAATACCCATTCGAGCACCTCTCTCCATGTCGCGGAGAGGATACAGACTCCGTTGTCCCAAAATTTATTTTCGCGACCAAAAATAATAATCCTCCTCTGCATCGCGCACATGCTCCCCAGTTTGTGTCTTCCCCCGTTTCTTATCATCAACTATCTAAAATTCATCTAATCATTGAGAAATCCTATATACCCTAATCATGATCCTTGAATTCATAATTCATAATTCAAGGTAGAGTTAAGAGTAAAGTTCGAGGGAGTCATTCTGAGTCTGTTCGAGGAGTTTTCTACAATTACTTATAATTTATTTCAGGACTCGAGTAAGTGAGTATGAGAATGAGAAGAGTGTATTCATGAGTCCTTATTATTATTGAGATCCTTGAGTCGAGTCGTTCATACCCATAATTCCGCGTGAACTCCATAAATTGAGTATCTATGAGAGGAGTAATATCTTCGAGTTCTAAGTTCTTGATTATTGAGTTCCTAATCCTTTTGAGATTATATTCCTAATTATGGGACTACCATATGTTATACATGAAGGTCATTGAGTTGAGTTGTTCATGCCCATAATTCCGCAAGAACCCTATGAGTCAAGAATTCTTGAGATGAGTAGTATCATTGAGTCCTTGAGTTCTGGAGTTGTTGAGTTCCAAGTATTGAGTTCTATATATGGTTATTGAAAATCTTGAATTGAGTCGTTCACGTTCATAATTCGGCATGAACCCTATTTTGAGAAGTCTTTTACAATTAGTTATAATTTGTTTTAAGACTTGAGCACTTGAGTATGAGGATGAGGAGAGTTGAGTTTTATTTTTTTTAACATGAATATATGGGAACTAAATATTCCCATAGTAAATGTTTTTATATTTAAAACGAGGGGAAACATTGATTTCCAAATGAGTTCATGACGAGTTTTGAGCACTATCTTTTTTAAGAGAATCCTTTGAGTAATTATCTCAAATCGATGAAGAGTTATGTTTTTAAACATATGAGCATGAGTATATATTATTGGGAGTAGTATTGAGCACCGATATGAGGGAGAGTTCAGATAACTCACAGCCCCCATAAACCATGTATGCCAACATGGGTAAAGGGTCATACTTTTTAGATGATTCCTTATTACTTTTTAAGCATAGCTTAGTAGATCCACTTAGTTGAGGATGTCCTATACTCCAGCAAGGTATAAGACAACTCGGGCAGCATGGGCGAGACGTTGTATCATCACATTGCTCATAGTGATGGTTGTCGATTAGAGAATCTCCCACATAAGAGTTAGTATTGTACTTTTACATACAATTGAGTTATTGTAATTCTACATGCAATTGAGTTATTATCTGTTGTTTTAGAAGCTTTCCATATATGACATCCTTTATTGTTGCTTTATCCTTGAGTATCTTTGAGTTGAGTACCTTGAGCCGAGTATCTTCGAGTTGAGTTTCTTATCTTTGAGTTGAGTATCTTATTCTTGAGTTGAGTATCCTATCCTTGAGTAGAGTTTGAGTTGAGTTGAGTGAGTTTGAGAAGAGGTAAGTATGTTTCTTTTCTATTAGTTGATCAAGCTTATGTTTAGGTTTTAGAATTTCCCTTACATGCTCGTACATTCAATGTATTAACGCAATTTGGCCTGCATCTTTTTATGATGCAGATACAGGTATTCAGGTTCATCAACAGACACTCTGTTGATACCACTTGCAGTTCCAGTTAGCTTTGGTGAGCCTCCTTACTTTCAGAGGGTTCCCCTTTTTCTTTCAGTTTGTTAGGATGCCATGTGTCTTGTCCCGATAATCCTTTTGTAATAGTAGAGGCTTCATAGATAGTTTTGAAGCCAAGGAGTCTATCATTATTCCCTTTGTTGTTGTAATATTTTGAGTTCATGAGGCATTTAACTAATACTTGTTAAATTATTTTCAAACGATTATTGGAGTTGAGTTTAAATTAAGTTTTTTTTAAAGTTATTTTTGCATCATGAGTTTTCATTTTGCTTGAGTAAGTCTTCCGCCGAGTAATGAGCCAGGCCAAGAATTCGCTTGGGAACCAGCAAAGATTTTCGAGTGCCAATTACGTCCAGAGTGTAGGCTCGGGGAGTAACAGTATTAGTGAGAAGGGATACAGAATCTCAGAGTAGAGCATGTATTTAGTTGCTTTAACTATGAGCAGGTCAAGTGTGAGCACTAAAGCACAAACTTTGGTTATTCTAGAGTGGAAGTGGCATCGTATCACACTGGACTTCATGGTAGACTTGCCACAGTTGAAGAAGCATGACTCAATTTTGATGGTTGTTGAAAACATTACCAT